AACTGCCCTCAAACCTAGAATATATGTTTACATATGTCCACAGATGTAACTGTGTAACTTTTAAAGACATCCACATATTTATACGTACAACATCATCAGTAAAATCCTTGTTGAAGCAAGCCTATGCTTGTAGTTTAAGCTCAGTGAATACTTGGTAAGGGAGTTTAGGTTAGGTTTGTGCAGTAATAGACTTGAAAGTAACACAAAGTTACCAAACAAACTACCCAAATCCCAGGAACTGAAAAGACTAATTATTACAATAACACTCTCATCATCTATGCATAAAGGAAAATGTCATCCATTCATTAAGAATGTGCTGGATGTGCCTGGAACTGGGATAAATGCTTTGCTTAAATCATTCCACTTATTCCCAATAAGAACCCCTCAAGGTAAATATTGCCACTGCCATTTTGTAAGTGGGGAAACTGATTCAGGGGGATTAAGGACCTTGCCCAAGGGCACACAGCTACCAAGTGCTTCTTGGATAAAATACACAGATGAAGAAAAGCTGACACCAACAAAAATCTCACTGGAAGGAGCTCTAAGGGCTTCCCTACCATTTCATTATAGTAAAATTTCATTTTATTATTCTGGTAAAAGAAATATTTCTAGCCTAATAGACCTGAAGATAAAACAGAACTGACACCCTATTTGTGTTAGTACGTAATAAAGCAAGTCAAATCATATATTGAGAGCCCAGCTGGAGCTATTTCCTTCCTCCGCCACTATCTTTTTTAAGGTACTTTTATTTAAGTGGAATTTCTTTATGTAAAAAGTATAATTTTGGAGCATAAAGGGATATAAGCATTACAGAGAAGCTACTATTTGATGGGAGAAGTGAAGTAGTTATAGAAGTTGTAATAATCATAATATTATTATTTAGTGCACAATCTTAAGCACTTTATACAAAATAATATTTAATCTTCATAACAATCCTATGGGGATACTACGATCATCCCCATCTTATAAGTGAAGAAACTGAGGCACAAAGCATTAAACTGCCTACGAAGGTCACATTGAGCAAATAGAAGCCAACATTCAAACTCCAGAGAATGCGCTCTTAACTACTAAGAATTATAAGGAATTAAGGTCCTCCTGGTTTTTCTTCCCATCCTCACTCCCCACTCCATCCTCACCACCTCCACAAAGCTCTTAACCCTTTCCTCTGTTAAGGGATGACAATGATTAAAGAAGGGAAACTTTTTGAACAGGATTTTGTGTTATATGAGATGCAGTTAATTTTTTTCTGCTGGGAAAAACTGTCCTACTTCCACTCCACTGCAGCTGCCAACCAAATATTCCCCTCCCTTTTCCATCCCATTCAAACGGATTTGTCCTGTCTCTGAATTATAGCAGCAAAGTATACTGATGACAACTGATGACACAAAGCATGTCACTCACAGCCAATGCATATGCATTTTAACAGAGAACTTCAAATACTACTTGAACCTAATGGGACAACTCTTAATTATAGAATTGCAGGCACTGTAGCAGGTTTGGGGAGCTGCATTAAGAACAGTGGGTCTCCAGAGGAATTCATCCAATTAGGAGCATTCTGAATAATACTGACATGTGTGGACTATGTAATGTATAGTATTATAAATATGCAAATATATGCTATTATAAAATAACACCAATGAACTTTTAAGCTTAAATAAAAGTAAATTAACCTTAAAATGTACACTGAGGACTCAGAATTAGATGGGCAGATTCAATTCATGACTATAAAAAGTCCTAGAAATTATAGAATCTCCTCTAGAAACTACTGAAATTAGGATAATGTCTCATCAATACAGGAAAGTTTAGGTATAGATATTTCTGACTGTTTATTCCTGGCTCTGATACTCTAAAATGTCCACTTGTTTCGTGCCGTGAGAACAGCCAGGCAAACAAAGATCAGTCTAGACATTCTCATCAGATCATATCCAAAGATGATGGTAGAATCACCAAGTCTAGGATTCAGACATATCCACGCATGCTAAGGTTGGTTTTCCTGTACCTCTTTTTTGGGGGGGGGGGCTGTGGATTTGATTGTGTAGGCTACTGCTACAGATACTTTATTGGGAGACTTGGGATCTAACTGCATCTCTGTTATTAACCAGTTTTGTAAATTTGGGCAAATCATTTAACATCTCTGGTCCTCACTTCGCTTTTCTGATGAATGAGTAAGGTAGATGAAAGAATCCCCATGATCCTGACTTGAAAATTCAGTGATTCAGAACAAACTATTTACATGTAACATCATAGATTAAACACAATTACAACACCACGTGAAGGAAATGACAGATGAGCATATTTTGTATAATTCTACTTATATTTTTAAAAACAGACAAAATATTTTGTTAGAAGGCAGGGAGTGCTACCTTTGCAAGAAGATAGCAATGGAAAGTCCTCTGGGGAGCTGGTAATTTCTCCACCTTGATACTGTCTAAATGAGTATGAATACTTGGTGACAATTCACTGAATGGTACACTTAACGATTTGTGCACTTTTCTGTACGTATGCTATGCTCGATTAAAAAGTTGTTTAAAAAAAAATGCATAGTGGTTCCAACCCATGGTGCAGTTCTCAAATTCATGAAGTAATGGAAAACTCTCCCTTTTATTTTGTGCAGCATCAGCCTGGGAAAAGGAAGAGGAGTAGGTGAACACCTGTTGAGCACTTACTATATGCTACTCACTTTACTACAGAAGTCCAAGATCAGGGTGCTAGTATGATTGGGTTCTTGTGAGCCTTCTCCCACCAGGTCACAGACTGCCAACTTCTTGTTGTGACCTCACAAGGCAGAAGAGGACACGAAAATTCCCTGGGGTCTCTTTTATTAGGACACTAATCCACTCAAGAGGGCTCCACCCTTATGAATGAGCTATCTCCCAAAGGCCTCACCTCCTAATACCAACACATTGGTTAGAATATCAACATATGAACTTAGCAGAGGATATGAATGTGCAATTGACTACATCTACCTCATCACTATTCTTATAACAAGGCTGTGAGATATCTATTACCATCCACATTTACAGATGAGGAAGCTGAGGCTCAGAAAGTGTGAGACACTTGCCTAAACTCATGCAGCAGTAAGCAATGGAGTCCAGGTCTGTCTGCCTAGGTCTGTAATGCTCTTTCCATTATGTCTTGCTGAAAACCACAGCAATTTGGGGTTTATAAAAAATCTTTAGTCCTGAGGTTTCACACTCAAGAAGAGTTTGGGAAAGCTAGAAAATACTTTCCCAAAGTCAAAACCCAGTCAAAGGTTAAATATTTGCAGCAGTTCCTGGAAGTTACTCATTTAAAAGGAGGTAAATAGGGGCGCCTGGGTGGCTCAGTTGGTTAAGCACTGCCTTCGGCTCAGGTCATGATCCCAGGGTCCTGGGATCGAGTCCCGCATCAGGCTCCCTGCTCAGCAGGGAGTCTGCTTCTCCCTCTGACCCTCCCCCCTCTCATGCTCTCTCTCTATCTCATTCTCTCTCAAATAAATAAATAAAATCTTTAAAAAAAATGTTTTTAAAAAAAATAAAAATAAAAAAATAAAAGGAGGTAAATAGAGGCACTTGTCCCATCTTGGCTCATCACACAATGTATGCTTGAAAATAAAATCTTTTCTTATGAACCATTCCCTCTAGAAGATTTAAAAAAGCTCTCAGTGTCTGAAAGATCCTCTTCAACTGTACGAGACTACATTAGCCACTGCCTTAAACACAAATGCAAGACTCGTAAACCCTGACCTTATTCATTCCAGGAAACCCATTTAAATTGCAAAGAAAAAAATAGTCAGCAAAATGAAAAAGAATGGGAGAAAATATTTGCAAACCATCTTCCTGATAAGGGGTTAATTTCCAAAATATATAAGGAACTCATATAATCCAACAGGGGCAAAAAAAAACTGATTTAAAATGGGCAGAGGACCTAAATAGACATTTTTCTATAGAAGACATACAGATGGCCAACAGACACATGAAAAGATGCTCGACATCACTAATCATCAGGGAAATGCAAATCAAAACCACAATGAGATATCACCTCACACCTGTTAGGATGGCTATTATCAAAAAGACAAAAGGTAACAATTGTTGGCGAGGACGTGGAGTAAAAGGAACCCTTGTGCACTGTAAGTGGAAATGTAAAGTGGTATGGCCACTACAAAAAACAATATGGAGGATCCTCAAAAATTTAAAATAGAACTACTATATGATCCAGCAATCTCACTTCTGTATACATATCCAATGCAAATGAAAACAGGGTATTGAAAAGATATCTGCATTCCCATGTGCATTGCAGAGTTATTCACAATAGCCAAGACATAAAAACAACCTAAGTACCCATTGGCAGATGAATAAAGATGTAGTATATAAATACAATGGAATATTATTCAGCCATAAGAAAGAAATCCTGCCATTTGCATCAACAGGGATGGACCTTGAGGGTATTATGCTGAGCCATTAAATAAGCCACACAGAGAAAGACAAATACTGCATAATCTCATAAAGAAGCCAAAGTCACAGAAACAGAGGTTGCCTGGGGCTGGAAACAAGGGAAAATGGGGAGATGGTGCTCAAAGGGTATAAACTTCCAGTTATAAGACAGTAAGTTCTTAGAGTTCTGGGAATCTAATGAACAGCATGGTAATTATAGTTAAAATACTGTATTATATATTTGAAGTTGCTAAGAGAGATCTTAAATGTTCTCACACACACACACACACACACACAAATGGTGATTAGGTGAGGTGATGAAAATGTCAACTGGCCCTATTGTGGTAATCATTTCACAAAACAGGGGTCCCCCAATATCCACTGGAATATGTTCCAAGACTCCCGGGAGATGCCTGAAACCACGGATAGTACCCAACCCCATATATACTATGTTTCTTCCTACACATACATACCTATGATAAAGTTTGATTTGTAAATTAAGCACAGTAAGAGATTAACAACAATAACTAATAATAAAATGGAACAATTACAACAATATACAAAAGTATCTTACTGTACCAAACTCACCCTACAGGATGAGACGAACTCAGGTGTATGACGTAGGCACTGCAATGTAGAATTAGGTTACTATTCACCTTCTGACGATTCGTCAGAAGGACGGTGGATAACTGAAACCACGGAAAGCAAAACCGAAACTGCAGCGGACGGGGGACTACTGTATATACGTATATACAGGTATCAAGTAATCATGTTGTACACCTTAAATGTACACAAGGTTATATGTCAATTATATCTCAATAAAGCTAGAAAATGAATGAATGAATGAATGAATAAAACAAAACCGCTGCAACCTACTGTCAGAAAAAGATGCACACACTCAGTTGTCTGATCACTTCAGACAATATATAACATTCTTCTATTTAATTCATATGCTTCCTGTACCAGGGGGGAAATGTCTTAAGTGGATTTAAACATTTTTAGATAATTCAGGTTGAGACAAAATGAAAAATCCTTCCAGAAGCCTGCATTCAGGACCTTCCCAACCTGTTCCCCTTTCACCAAGACCAATAGTCTTCTCTTCCTCCCACCAAACTCTCAGGGTGGCTCACTTCAGTGAGGTGATAGAAGGAAAGCAATAGGACTAGCAGCATTCATTCTAAGATCAGTTTTCCAAGGCAGTCACTTTTTTAAAGTAAAGCTTATTTATCCACATAAATTCCTACCAGATGAAATATGATTCCAGCCTGTGTACCCAACGAAATTAAAAAATTCCAGTACTGTGGGGAAAAGGGGGACGTTATTATCACTTCTTGAAGAAGGAAGCTTTTGTCCATGATGCAAGGAGCTTCACTGTTTCACTCCCACGGCATTTAGAAGATGATTTAAGGATGATGGCCGTTAGTCATGCTCCTTAATCCCTAAGTGGTCTGATCACTAATGCATTTTTCCCTATTTCTAGATTGACAAGATTCGAATAACTTACAGGCATATAGTTACACAGATAATATTTCAAATATCATACTGAAATGCTGTCAGGAAGCTGATGTTTAAATAAACGGCGAAAGAATTCTGACTAGCTAAAATATATGGCCGTGATCTCTAAAGGAATCTGTTATTCAGTCTTAGCTCCACATACCCATTCTTTTTAAGACGGCTTTTTGCTTTCCACTTCCATTGTTTTATATACACATATATAAACACAAAGATAAACAAAGCAGGAACTACATTTATGATCATCAAAACGCAGGTGACCTGGTACCACTGTTAATAGGGGTCTAAACCTTGATGATGAAATCTTTGGCACAGTGTGGGATTACAACACCCAGCCAGTTTTTATTAAGCATCTACTAGGTGTCAAGCATTGAAATTCACTCTTGGAATTACTGCCATATCTCAGTTCTTGCATGCCTGCAGAGAGATACTGGCATTCAGCATCTAAATGCCTTTGACCCAGCCATCAAATATCCTCCCTTGGACCCCAACATCACACAGTAGAGTCATGAAGCAAATAGGAGAGTCAGGTCAATGATTAGAACATGACTCCAGAGGGACATAAGATAAGTAATAAGCAGGATTTGGAAATTACAGCAAATTTTAAGAGGAATGTTTCTAAATTCCAAAATTCACATTTTTTTTTTAAGCAAGTGGAAATCAACTACTGGTGTTGGAAAATAAGAGGCTATTATGAATGGAGAAATATTTTTTTTAAAGATTTTATTTATTTATTTGACACAGAGAGAGCGAGCACAAGTAGGCAGAGCAGCAGGCAGAGGGAGAGGGAGAAGCAGGCTCCCCACTGAGCAGGGAGCCCGATGCGAGGCTCGATCCCAGTACCCTGGGATCATGACCTGAGCCAAAGGCAGACGTTTAACTGACTGAGCCACTCAGGTGCCCCTGGAGAAATATTTTCTAACCAGATACTTACCCCATCCTCTCTGGAAAACTAGACTTTTCCCTCTCTGAGCCTGAATCTCCAGTTTACTTCTTTGTATCGACTGTTTAAAAGATGCAAATCCAAATTATTTAATTATTAATGGTACCTAGTGTGCCTAGTACAGTACCTGGCAAGTATCTATTGAGTAGGCACTCAATAAATATTTATTGCATGAGGGAATGAACTGTTGAAATCAGTGACTCATATTTTACTCAGCAAAATACAAATGGTGTTTTTAATTAATTCAGCAACATATGGTATTGATTCTAAATGTGTTTTATTAAACTATAAGCAAGCACTGAGATAGTGATACTACAAAGGTAATTTGCTACCAGAATATAATTATAGTAATGCATTACTAGACTCATTTGTTAAATACAGACTATTAATATGCTTTAATTAGCTTCCTAAACTGTGCAGAAATCTTTTTTTGACATAAGTAGGCACGTTCTTTTCCTAACAAGATAAATTATTTTCCAGTTTTAGTTATTATGTCCCCTAGAATGTGCTTTGTCCTTTTAACCCTAGCCTTCCCCCAAACAGTCGTCACCACTCCAGGAGCAACGACCAGGGGACTGGAGCTAGAGTCGGGAGGCGGTTTTTACTTCCCGAGTGGAGTCGTCGGGGATGACGTCATCTGCGCGCTGCAGCCCAGGAGAGCGGACCCCTGCGGGTCCTGTGGGCTTCCTTGGACCCCACCGCGCCGGCGCTTTACACTTAGTTCTCGGTAGCTGGTCTCGCCACTCTCTGCCCACTGCTCACTCTACTGTCTTCCGTGCCCAGAAAAGTTGCAGGGAAGAGTGGTGTGCAGAAATGTTTAAATGCTTAAGCTACCAGATTTCTCAGTAGCAGTAAGGAAGTACCTCCCTTGGACCCAAGCAAGAAGGGCTTTGTCATGGATCCCCTTTCTAGCCCTTGTCCAGCTGCACCTCCCCCACCCCTGCCAATGAGGGCATCTGCAGAGCCAAAGGTACATGCACACCCAGAGCCGACACCCCCACTCCTAGACCACACTCAGAGTATCCAAGACCCCAGAGTTCCCGGGTCAAACAACACAAGCTACTTCCAGAACCTGTGCAAACACCACTTTCCAGAGTCCCTCCTCTAGAGGCTGGACCACACCTAGAGTGCTCCCCCTCAGCCTCAGGGGGGTACCTATCAGAGAGGTGTGCCCACACAAGTGCATGCAGGATTGAGGCAAGGATGAGGAGAGCGGGGACTGGCCTCAGGCGAAGGACCAGAGCTTGCCCTCCCTGTGTCACAGACCACTAAGGAGGCCAACAATTCTAAATTCAAAATTACTGGAAAAACATGCTTTGAGTGTGGAATTATGGGTGATTTTTTTCCTACGTGTTTTATATTTGTTTTGCCTCAGTTTTTATGGCTGTAAAGTAGACAAATAGTAGGATATTCCTCACCAAATTGTCATAAAACTAAATGAGAGGGGCACCTGGCTGGCTCAGTCCAGAGAGCATGTGACTCTTGATCTCAGGGTCATGAGTTTGAGCTCCACGTTGGGTGTAGAAAACAGTTAAATAAATAAACAATTTTTTTAAAAAAAGACTAAATGAGATAGTGCCTGTAAAGCTTGAAGCACAATGAATAAGTGCCTAACCACTATTTTTATTACACACATACTAATTTTGTAACTAATCAATGCTATTTTAAAGCCGTATTTAAAAAGCAAAAGCAAAAACAGCCCTCCAGGTCACCGTGAAAGTATATGTGTGAAGCATCTCTTTACTTGCTAGATGGATGCTGCCTGATTCATGAATCACTTAATAAAGCCAATTAGATCTTTAAAAAAGAAAGGAAGTGTATGTGTCAAGAAGGAAAATAAAAACAGACACAATTTGGTAGTTGATGTATAACTTCTCAGAATTTAGACATATGGTTTGTGGTGCCCCCAGCTTTGCAAATGTTAAGAGTGCTTTCTTTAAATTCTTTTCTTGCATTCAAGTATCCAAATGTACTGAATATGCTTGATGAAGTATTACAAATGAGATCCTGCCATTTAAACCTTTGAGATTTCTTGTTCTCAAATTTACCAACAGAGGTGCTTGGTTCAAACGAATAAGTTCTCTTGAGACAGCCTCTGAAGATCAACAAAGTTCATCTTTAATGGTAATAGTATTTACAAATAATAATAAAGTTTATCAAGCATTGAGCCTCCCAAAGTATAGCAAGAAGTAATTTGCATATATTATTTTATTCGATCCTCAAAACTCTAAGGTAGGTGTTATTTTATTTTACAAATGGTGAAACTAAAGTATAGAGAAGTTCAGTAACTTGACTGAGTTTCCACAGCCAGAAAGGACAACATCCTGATGCCCCCTGGGCACAAAACCCTGCTGAACACCAGCTCTCTGCCCCTTATTCCACTGCCTCCAGCATCAGCATCACAATCCCCTCCCTATCTCTGCATCCTCTCTTCCTTTGGCCCCCTCCCTGTCGCCTTTGCACAGTCCCACCCAGAACTCAGGCCTCCAGCTCAGATTTCTAGTTATAATTGCTCACTGCATTGAGCATGGAGATTACTTTGGGTGACTGATGCCTTCAACACACACTCTGGAGTGCAAGGGTACCATGGAATCAGGCAGGCAATGCCCCGGGATGAGATGACAGAAGTGGAACTGAGTCATGGAGATTCCAAAGGGAGTCAGGTAAGTCGGAGTGTGGGGCACGTACAGTACACCCTCGTGCCTGAGGTGTGCTCTGAGGGTCTGCCATCTCTGCCGCACAGAACTGAGAGGGTGTACAGACATGAGCCTCAGTGCTGCCGCCAAGGAAGAGGGCATCCAAACTGAGTGAGAGTCTCCAGGGTAGGGAGCACACTTTGGATCAGACAGAATAATAAGTAAAATTCACCCTTCTTCATTAAACTCCACACCAAATTCATTCTTGTTTGTTTAGTTAAATCAATTAAAAAAAAAAAACCAGAATCTAACCTATGTGTTTTTGAAATATAGAGATGGGATTAGGGGTGAGCCATAAATTTCCTCAAAACTGATATGTGTTTGGGATACAGTCCATGAGCCCAAACAGAGAGGCAAAATGTTCCCAGAGGCATGTCACCAGATGAAATAGTTTGGGAGGGAGCAAGGGGACAAGAGAAGAGCATCTTTTCTTTCCATCTCCCTTTCTCTCTTTTCTTTCTTCAAATGCACTGACTGAATATGCTTACTTTTGGGGACTAGATTGAGGCACAA